ATGAATGCGGAGACGCAAAGCATCGCAGCTAGTACCAACACGGGCACGCCTAAACGTCGGTCTAGATTCTTCCACCGAAGCAGAGACTAGATGGTCGCTACATCGCCAAACGGAGCGCTCGGCCTTTTTGCGTCTCCCTCTCCTTTCATCCCTACACCCATTGACACGTCTCGTTACCTTTGCGTCCTTCCACATGCACCATCACACTCTCTTTTCTGGAGCGCAATGCCCGCTTTCATTCCGAAACTCGCATGTTCAAGGTGGAGCTACCTCACATCCGCGAAATTCGATGTCATAGCACGTGTGCCTTTGATGCGCGGGATCACGACTGAAGTCAGGGCGATCGCAGCATTAGAGAAAATTACATTACATTCTTGCTCTCTGCTCGACTAATTATCTATGGGATCCTGCTCGATCGTGCTGGGAGCGGCATAGTTGGTATTCAAGCCGTCTGACAAGCAAGGCGAGAAATGGCGCCCGTCTGAACGTGAGCCTCGATGCCAACAGCAAACGTCATCTTCCAAAAGTGACTCACCCACGACGAAAAAGTCGCTGTTTCTCAAAGGTCTGCTCTGAGGTCTGGATTGCTTCCCAGCCAATTCCGCCTTCTCTTCGGCCGTTCCAGCGCCCCTTAGGACCTCTACGCTTTGCCTGCCCTTTCCGCTTCTCAAGTACTCCCTGACCGGTTGCATAGCTGCGTTCCTGCAGGTCTCTTTGATCTCGCTTCCACTAAAGCCCTCGGTCCGCTTGATGACGGCCGACATGTCGAATTTGGGATCGAGGTTCACGCCTGCCAGCATGATTTTCAGAATTTTGCCCCTTTGCACAGCATCTGGCAGTTTGACGGGATACCGCTTGGGCATACGTCGAAGAATGGCAGCATCGATGGCTGTCGGTCTGTTCGTAGCGCCCAGAACGACGATACGGTCTGAAGAAGATGTCAAGCCATCCCACAATCTGGTGAGACGCCAGAGCAGAGGATCATGTTGAGCAAATTGTGAGCAGGACGTCGAGCAGACTGGACCAACTCACGTCATGAATTCGGCCTTCATCATCCCCGTGACTTCATGATCAGCCCCACTCCTTTCTCTCATGAAGGAATCGATCTCGTCAATGAAGATGATGGCAGGTTGCAACTTCTGCGCCAATGAGAACAGACCCGCAACCAGCTTGTTCGACTCGCCAAACCACTGTTGAATGGGAAAAAGGTGTGAGACTCAGCACGCTGCTTGCGCTGCAATGCGCAGAAGGCGGCTCACCTTGTTGGTCAAAGTAGAGACGTGCATGTTGATAAAAGTCGCGCCGCTCTCCTTTGCAAGGGCCTTGGCCAGCATCGTCTTTCCTACAAACCCAATAGTCTACCATCATCAGCGATGTTCTGGCAAAAAATACTGCCAGCCATCTCGAGCGCCACTCACCTGTTCCGGGAGGACCAAAGAGCAAAACACCCTTTGGAGCTCCAAGCAGACCATTCTTTCCCGCCGCTCCCGCAAAGAGCTCCGGATAGCACAAGGGCGCAATAACGCTCTCTTGCAGCGATGAGATGATGCTCTCCAGCCCGCCAATCGAATCGAAAGTCTCTTGGATTTGATGTGGTAGAATGAGCTCTGTTGCAATTTGTTCTGCGATGGATACGGGCCACGGGACGATTGTGAGTCTGACAACGCCTGTCCCTAAGTCACACCTACGCGCATATCTAGGTATAGGACCAAGTCGCACTCGACGTTATGTAGCGTACATGCACCACCTTCATTGTAAGGGTCACGCTCAACTTACCCTCGTACTCATTCAGCTGCACATTCTTTCCCAGCCGAGCAAGCTTGTCCCCACTCGTCTTTTTCGCATCCAGCCTCTTTTGTCTCTGAGGATCATTGCCCTGTAGGATGGCTCGGATGGCATAGTAAGCGGCTAGATTGGTGAGACCTAGTAGGACTAAGTCCACCACTAGCTTCTTGGTCGAGTCCTTCATGGTGAGCAAGGAGTGGCGAAGTCTTGCGAGCGCGACGGTGAAGGTTTGCGCTAGAGCTCGGTATGTACAGTGGACCAAGAGATGAGCGTGAGCTGTGTCAGTGGAGCCAAAGCGAAGGAGAGTCTTTGTATATATGCGCAGGCAGGATGGCAGGATGAAAGGAAAGCCAAAAGAGATGTGGACGATAAGGCTTGAAGGTGAGCTCTTCTCTCGTGGTGTCGGCTGCCTGTTGAGCTGTGACGGGTGGGCATGCATGCATCCATCCATCCATCGACCCAAAAGCATGTTCGCATTCTTGATTCACGATTATCACGGATTCACGCGGGCGCAGCAGCCACCGCTGCGCTCGAGCATCACGTGACCTGAAAGTGGGTTGCATTCAAATCACG